ATCGGGATTATTAGATACGGAATACAGAATAGGTATGTTTAATATGCTTACAAAATAAACACACATGTCCAAAACGTGAGACTACAAAGAATTCTTGGACAGCACATTAAAAGCAATAACTGTAAACAAACAAAAAAGGATAAATTGGACTTTATAAAGAATTTCTTCTCATCAGAAGACATCATTCAGAAAGTAATGAAGCAAGAATAGGTTAGGAAAAGAATTTACAACACATATATCCAACAGTGAACTTTTATCCAAGATGCACAAAGAACTCCTACAAATCTATAAGCAAAACTCAAACAACCCAATTTAAAAATGGGCAAAAGACGTCAAAAGGCACTTTACAAAGGCATTCGAATGGCCAAGAAACACACGAAACGGTGTACAACTCATCACTGCTCATCAGGGAAATTTAAATTAAATCTCATTTCCCGTCCACCCCCACCAGAACGGCTCAAAGACCAACCACGCAAAGCGCCAGCAGGAATGAGGGGAAACTGGAATTCTCACACATTGCCAATGGGATTATAAATTGGTTTGTCTACTCTGGTAACCATTTAGCAGCATATATAAAGTTACACAAATGCTACCCCATGAGTCAGCAACACCACTGCTAGAGAAATAAATCCCATCAACAGGCATGTACACAAATGCTCAGAAGAGGTTTGTTTACGATCACCAAATTATGGGAACAGCTCAAAAGTCCATGTAGAGATGACTGAGGGGGGCATAAGGGAATCTTCTGGGGTGATGGAAATGTTCTACACATTGATCTGGGTGGTGACGACATGAGCATGCAGGTGTGTAAAAATGCATCAAGCTGTAGTACACGGAAGACTAGTGTGTTTTACACTCTGTAAATATTTGAAATCTTGATAAAAAACAAGAGACTATCGGGGCTGGCCCATGGCCGAGTGGTTAAGTTCACGCACTCCGCTGCAGGCGGCCCAGTGTTTCATCGGTTCGAATCCTGGGCGCGGACATGGCACTGCTCATCAAACCACGGTGAGACAGCATCCCACATGCCACAACTAGAAGAACCCACAACTAAGAATATACAACTATGTACCGGGGGTCTTTGGGGAGAAAAAGGAAAACGAAAAAACAAAAAACATGAGACTATCAAAAACGTTGAGGCAGATTTGCAAAAAGAAACAAAAGGAACTTCTAGAAATGAAAAGAATCCAATCACTGAAATGAAAAACTCAATGAAAGAGTTCAACAGGAGATTAACACAGCTGAAGAGAAAAATCAGTGATCCTATTTTCAGCTTCTGGAAGACAGAGCTGAAGAAACTAAACAGGATGTAGCGAAGGGAGACAAATGGATAACATGAAGGAGCGGTTAAGCGACAGAGAGTAGAATGAGAAAGTCTAATATCTGTAACCCGAATTCTAGAAGCAAATGATCAAGAGAACAGGAGAGAAACACTTTTTGAAAATAACACAGCTGAGATTTTTCCTAAATTGATAAAAGACCTGAATCTTCAGATTCAAGAGTCAAAATGAACACCAAGCAGGACAAATAAAAGAAAATCCACACATACACACATCGGAGTCAAACTATAAAAGAACATTTCAAATTACCTGTACTTTTTTTTCTAATTGATATGTGAAAGTATTTTAAATATTCTGGAAAATAATGCTTGGAAGTTAAGTGTCTGGTAGTATATGGCTTGATTTACCATGTGCTTTGTGGTGTCTTTTAATTCTAATGTAGCGAAATTTGTCAATCCTTTCTTTTATGTTTGGCACTTTTTATGTGGAAAGAAAATCTTTCTGAGCAGAAAATTGCTAAAAATATGCTTCTATATTCACTCCTAAGATTCTCATGTTTTCTTTACATGTTTAAGTCTTTGATCCACTTGGATGTGCTTTCATTTTATTATATGGATAACTGATTTTCCCAGAACCATCTGCTATGCCATTTCTATCACCTATCAAGCTTTCACACAAACATGGGTCTGCTTCTGGTCTCTCCATTCTGTGTCACTGGTTCATCTGTCCGTCCTTGCACCAATACCACATGAAACTAATGTAACTATACAATACATGTTGATACCTGGTAGTGGAACTTGCTCTTCTTCAAGATCATCTTGACTATTCTTAGCCTTTTGCTCTTCTATTTAAATTTTAGAATGAGTTTGTCAAATTCATGAAAACCTGCTTAATTGGAATTGCAATGCATTATACATCAATTTGGAAAAAAACTGACATCTCTACACTATTGAATATACCCATCCATGAATATGGTACATTTATTTTTCTTGTCTTACTGAAATGACTAAGACCTCCAGTACAATGCTGAACAGAAGACATGATTGCAGGCATCATTGTCTTCTCATTTAAAGGTCCATTTTTCTCCTACTTCATCACTGAGTACAATGTTTGCATGGATATTTAGGAACCAACTTTTACCTGGCTTAGGAAGTCCACTTTCAGTCCTAGCTTGCTAAGAATTTCCATCATGAATGAATGCTGAATTTTATTGACTGCTTTTTCCACATCTATTGAAATGATTGTACAGTTTTTCTCTTTTGCTAATGAGGTGAATTACATTCATGAATTTTCCAATGTGAATCCCCTCTAGTATTCTTCAGATAAACTCAACTCAGTCCTAATACCTTACCTTGATTATATACTGCTGATTTCAGTTCCAGAGGGAAAGGGAATAAATAAAATAAATAGTACAAGAAAAATTCCCAGAACTGAGGGACAAGTCTCCAGTCTAACAGGGCTCTGCACGTGTCCAGCAGAAGGGATGACAAAAAGCCTACACTAAACATAAACAAAATCTCCTAAGCCTGACTCCTGCACTGCACAGCTTCAGGGGCACCGTTCCCGTTGTATTTACGTAAACGGTGCTCCCTGGAACTGTGCAGTACACAGACACTCCCAGAGGCCATAAGAGCCAGGATTTGTGCAACACGACAGCCCTCTTCTTGAGAGCTCCCGGAAGGAAAAACAAATCTCACACACACACACAAAGGAGAATCAGAACGCCATCAGAATTTAGCAGCAACCGTGGCTGCTGGAAGATAAAACTATGACTTCAAAATGCTGGGTGAAACTTTTTTCCAATTTGGAAATCTATTCCCAGCCAAACTATAAATTAAGTGTGAGGGTAGAATAAAGGCAGTTTAGACAGATCAGAATTCAGAAAATTTACTTTCCACGTGCCCTTTTTTAGATAACTATAGCAAAATGTTGGGAGACATTTTTCGTTGCTTCACAGCTTTGATTCCGCCCTTTTTCTCCAAGTTGCATTCAGTATCCAACCGCCCCTCAGCCAGTGTGTCCAAGGGAAACCGGAATCCACGCCCACTGTCCATGGCTGTGCTTGATTAGCATAAAGATGATTCCTCTTCCCTTTTTACAATATTGGTTCAGAGACTCAGGCAAGTCAGTCAATCAAGTCAGCGCACCCTCCCTAGCCAGTGGGACCGGCTCAGGAATGGACGTGTGAGATGATCTGATCATTGACATACAAGGAGATATTTGCTAGGTGTTTTCTGGAGAAGAAGTTTCCCTACCTCAAAAATGTGCCCAGAAGAGATGCCCCTTCTTCCTCCAGACCAGGGGTAGGCCAGCGGAAGTCTCAAGCTGCCTTAGACGTTTCACCACCATGAGAGAAGTTGCCACAAGGATAAGCCAAACCCAAGGGAAACTCAGCCAAGCTAATCATAGGGCTTCAGTGACCAGATCAATCCCAGCCTGAAGCCAGCCCTGTTCCTGGAATCCCACTTCAGTGAGCCAAGAAATATTCTTAAAGTTTAAGCTTTTTCAGCAACTTCTCTGTTTTCTGCAGCTAAAAGCTTCCAGGAAATCCAGGGAGTCCACATGGGAAGGCACAGAATGAGCACTCCACAGAGGTCTAGAGGGCAACTGGCTCAGACTGACAAGAGGCCAGGGGCTCCCAGTGGGAACTCAGAGAATGCCTGATATAATGGAGCATTTGGGAGGGAAAAAACCCTGAAGATATGATAAAGCTAGACAATACAAGGAGGAAAAAGGTTAAAAAAGAAAAAACTCCAGGAAACGTAAAAGACTGTAGAAAAAGGGCGATGTAATCACAGCATAATTCTTGGCTCTGCAGTGAATAATATTTATATAGTCACAGCAACATAAATCTGGTTTATTGACTTAACCACAACTTACGATCTGACCACATGAACAAGACGGAAGGAGAGAAGCTCTTCCTCACTGATCACAGCAGAACTAGGTAAATCTTGCCTAAAATTGATATATCAAGAAATAGTAGTGGATGGGTTGGTGAGAGGGAGATGTCCCCTAGAAGAAACTGCCGAAAAGTCCGAGGCGGCTGCCGCCAGCAAACAGGACCAGGAGTGGAAAGATAAGTGGTTTTTGCTGTTGCAAAAATAGCTTTTCACAACTGTTTGACTTAACACTGTGCATATATTCTACTTTTATAGAATAAAATATTAAAATGTTTAGGGTAGATAAGTAAAAGATGGCTGCTTGGGGCAAAGTCAGGGAACAGTAGGAAAATCAAGAGTGCAGATTTATTAGGTCGGTCAGATTACAGTTGCTTTTTTCTTTTTATAACTTTCTCTAGGTTATATAATAACAGTTATACTTTAAACTGTGTGTAAAACTGAGACAAAAAATAAAATTACAGGAGGAAGAAATATCGGCCCCATGTCCAGGCAGATAGAGGCACTTGCTCCTCGCGCCCCGTCAAGCAGCCGGGAGACGCCAACACCCCGCACAGGACAGAGGCTCCGAAGCCGAGGGCCAGAGGGCAGCCCGGCCCTGCGGCCAGCAAAGGCTCCTCCCTGGCCCCACACCTGCCTCCCCTGGGCCCAGCAGACGTCCCCAGCGGCCCGGGTCCCTCAAACAGGCCAGGCCCAGAGGGAAAGCGGCCACAACTCAGCCTCCTCCACACTCCAGCCTGTGCCAGAGCCGGGTGGTCCATCTGCCTGGGACTTAGGTGCAAGGGGGTCCAGGGTGCAAGGGGACAGGGAAGAGGTGACCTACCACAGGAGTCGCAGGTGAAGCAATCGGTGTGATACAGGCTCCCCATCGCCTGGCACGCCTGCCTTGCTCCGTAGATGCCAAGCCCACACTTGATGCAGATGCCTAGGGGAGGAGAGGCAGAGAGAGCAGCGGTCAGCACAGTGACCGTGGAGCCGGATGGACATGCACCCCACTCCCAGTCCCAATGCTGCCCACGCGCCTGACCCTGGGCAGGCGAACTTCCCTGGGCCTCCGTCACTCGGTTACAAATGGCCAACATGGGGCCAAGAAGCGCTTGTTGTTGACAAACAGGGTTTGTTGCTGTTGTTGGGAAGATTGAGTTTAGCAGAGTGCCTGGCACAGAGTCAGAGATAACTGATGCTGTCCTCGCCATCAAAATCATGGTGACATGTTCATACCTAGAAAGTCACTCTGAGCCCCTTCACCTGGGACCTGCTCTTGGACTGAGGGAAAATCCTTTCTGCTGTCTATGAACCAAAAAGAATGAAGCCCACACAGGCACCGCCAGGACAGAGTCGCCGACCCTCCCCAGCCACTTTCCTCATCTGTAGCATGAGATTAATCTACCCTCTCATTCAGTCAGAGCATGGACATGATGGCCTGCCACGTGCCCTGCACAACTTAGGGGCTGGAGGTCCTACGATGCACGAGTCAAGCCCTCCCTCAAGGAGGCTGTGCTCCAGCCTGTATTCCAGTGGAGAGAGACAGACAAACAGACAGATAACATCTCCGGGGGAAACAAGTGCTATGGAGGAAAATAAGGCTGATGAAGAATATGTCTGAGTGTGTGACTCTTAAACAGGGTGGTCAGAGGCTGGGTCAGACAAGCCGATATTTGAGCAAAAGCCGAAAGGAAATAAGGCAGGGAAGTTTCCATGCAGACATCTAGGTTAACTGGATGGAATCAGGGGCCACCCCTGGCAGCATCGGGCGGGGGGTAGGGGGGAGAGGTGCTCAGAAGGCTGGAGGGGGTGACCAGCAATGCCAGGGCAAAGCCCTGGAGGCTCTCTAGCCAGCCCTCCTGGAGACCCAAACCAGAGACGGGCAGCCAGACATCAGAAGTCCCCCTCACAGAGTTACCAGTGGTCTCCCAGGCACCCCACATAGGGCATGAAGATGGGCTCCACCTGCCATCGAGACCCTAAGTGTCCAGGCTGCTCCAGGACATGATACCCTCACCCTCTCCCTCTTGCTTCCTACCAGATCTCTCTCCTTAACATTTAACCATGGTTGAGCTTCTCCCGTCTTAAAAAATCTCTCCCTCCCCCATCAGCCACCCCATTTCCCCCCTTCCTTCAGTCAAGAACAACCACTTCGTCCACACTCAGTCATCTCTTGACTATGCAGATCCACGGACTTCCCGTTCTGATGCTGCTGGAGGGGGAACTCTCCTCCTCCTGGGTTTCCGGGATACGACCCACACCTGGCTTTCTGGTTCCTCTCCCTCCCCAGCCCCGGTGGGTACTCCCCTGCTCTGTCCTGGGCTTCCCACACCACGGTCTCCCCAGGGAAGGGAGGGCCAGTTCAGACGCCCTGAAAACCAAGCAGGTGTGCAAAGCTGGCTGGTGGGGACCCAGGTAAACAGAGAAGAGAGCCATGGCCGCCAGAAGCTGCAGCCACGCCTCGGCTCTGCTGACGGCTACTGGGTGGGGATGCGGGCCCAGCATTGCTAAAGACCAATTTGTCAAGAAAAGCTAGACATCTAGATTTATAGGTGAAATCTTCCCAAGCTAAAATTAATTACTAACTTAAATGCTTTGAAGACACAGAAGCCAAACACCATGTCTGCAGGTTTCCCTGGGCAGTCCCAACATGCTCCTAACCGGTCACCCCACGGAAGGCTCCCGGCGCTCTGCCCCAACCTGGACCACTCTCCTGAGTCACTGACTCACGTCCCGCATGGCCTCAGACCGCTCCAGGTCCAGAGAAAAGCTCCAGGCTCCCCACAAAACTGCTCTTGCCCCTGGGTTCCCACTCCAGGAATGGCACTTCTGCATAGCCAGGTTTGAGGGAGCACCACAGCCTACCCTCTCCCTCCTTCACCTCCAGCTCCAACTCTCAGCTCCTCTATTCCCTAATCTTGACTCCACCCCCTCCCCTCACTCCCACTAGCCTGATTCAGAACATCAATTCTCATCGCAAGGGCTGCTTCCACAGTCTCTCACGCATTCCAGCCTGGCCCCCCAGAAGTCGCCCCCCAAATGCAGGCACACTTATCTTTCTAAAGTGAAAATGACTCACACCTCTGCTCTTGTCCATCAACTTCGAATACCTGACCTTGTCACCTCCCTAAGTTACCAGAATAGCAAACGAAGTCAGTTGCCTGTGGAAAGCAAGACAGGAAGATGGGCAAGAGGGGAGGCTGTGACCTTGTATTCTTAGTTTTTTGGTTCTGTTGGCTTTTTTTCTAAATATGTGTTTGCATCACTTTAATAAAAATACATGGAAGGAGGAGAACCAGGAGCATGAGGTAATGTCCAAAATTCAGGGAGTAGACCGTTTCAAGGAGAGTTGACTCCAGCTGTGGGACGGAGCAGTGAGATCCAGACCAACGAGGCCTGGCAGACACCTGCTGGGGCTGGGGAGTCGTCGGTCCTGTGCAAGAGCTGGGCCAGTTCAGTGAGAGGAGACAGCAGATGGCTGAGGGGACAGCAGACGCAGATACGCAAAGACAATGCCAACTAGACACGGGGATGAGAAGATGAGATGAAAGGGCTGACGAGACCTTGTGGCCATGTAGGTTTGTGTTTGTTTGGGTTTTTTTTTTTTAATGAAAGACCCTTGTACATATTACAAGCAAAGGAAAAGAGCCATTGGAAAGAGGAAAGCAGAAGATGGAGGAGGTGGAGTTGCAGACGGAAGGACCCTTATCCTCAGATCTGGATGCGTACCTGAGAGCCTGCGGGTAAGGAACAGGAAGCCAGAGGAACAGACTGCAACTGCTGACCCCAATTTTTTCAGCAAAGTAGAAAGCAAGGGCAGGGGCTGGAGGAGAGAAGCAGTTTGTTGAGGGAATAAAAGAGGAAACTGACCAAGGCTTAGAGAGATGGGTGGCACCAGAAAACCACAGAAGGTGCCGACCATCCATCTGCTGCCTGGAACAGCAGCAGCAAAGGAGCCGCAGCCCGGACTCGGAGTCAGGGCTCCACAGGGCAGACGGCCACCAGAGGAATCAGAGACGCTGAGAGGCGGGCTGCAGTCAGAACCGAAGGCTGCTGAAGTGAAGCAAAAACAGGGTGTGGCCCTGGGAGTGGGTGGCTGAAGAGAAGGCAGAGAGGTCACCAAAGTTAAAGAGGTTCCAGAAGCCTGGGGCTGTTTGCTGGCTAATGGCAGTGGAACTCGGGAGGAGAGAGGGGAAAGTTCCAAAGGTGTCAGTGAATGGCAGAGAGGGACCAGGAGGTCAGCTGGCGTCAGGGCCAAGGAGAAGAAGGGATAGCACAGAGTGGAAGGAACACATCTGAAAGATGAGGTTTGCCAGAGATCACTGAGCTCGTGCAGACTTCCTTTTGTAAAATTCTGTACTATTCGGGTTGAATTGTAGGAAATTGCCACTTTTATAGCTCCAAAAGGTCAAATATCAGAAGTTCAAACAAATATTTGCCCATATTTTTAAAAATCAGGAAAATGTAACTTAGATCTGGCTTCTCTTGAAAAACCGAAGATCTATCATGGCTCACCTCCCACTCCCAGGTGGCTTCAATGGGCTGGAGCTGAGCTGAGTGGCGGCTCCCTCTGGGAAGGCCAACCCATTAGCTCCTATGGTCTTGTACCATCAGCTCTCCGCTTCTCCCACTGCCTGCCTGGGTCTAGCCACCTCGACTTCACACCAAGATTCTGAGTAGCCACGGAGGCCCACAGAACACACCTCCACCCAGGCCTGCAGTGTGTGGGACAGGAAAATGGGCAGTCTCCCATGGAGAAAGTACTGGAAGTCATTGTTTTCAGAAGAGAGTCCCAGCTTCTGCTCCTGGTACCTGCGTGGCAAGAGAGGCAAGAGCTTCCTAACTCATCTCCCTGCTCCCAGGCCATGTGACAGCGGCCACAAGAACTACCAGACCACACATTCTCACCCGGCCGCCCCCGGATGAGCATGAAACCCTTCGGTGAGCCCCCTCCCAAAAGCAGGCTGACCCCATGGCCCAAAAACTCCCTTGACCACCTGACCCCTCTGGGGCTGCAAGCCCGGGGAGCATACTGGAACAATCCACATCTTTACTTGCCTCCTTTCGCCCACATTCTTCCCTCTGCCTGGAATGCCCTCATCTGGCCTGTCACAGCCTCCTCCTCTCTCAAGATCCAGTTCAGGGCGGTCCTGAGCTGCTAGCTGGAATGAATGTATGAAAGATACATACTCCAGGACAGCCTCAGTCGCAAGCACCATAACCACGGAAGCCAGGCGCTCAGCCGTCCTGCTTCTCAGTACCGGAGGGAAGCAAGCCCCCTCCCCAGGCCTCTCCTCAGAACCTCAAGCCTGAGAGTCCTAGGAATGGTCCAAAGGACCAGGGATCAGGGAACCAGGGTCAGACCGCGAAATGGAGGCTGTCAGAGACTGCTGGGCTTTGCAAACGCTGTGAAGCAAGATTCCCTGTGGAAACATCCCATACACACTGCACAACCCAGAGCGAGGACAGCCCCGTGTGAGCGGCTTGGTCCCCTCCCCCTCTGGGTGGGCGTCCTCTCCCCCACACACTCTACCTCCAGCCGCTACCATCGCCAAAGCCTCAGGTCAGGCGGGGTATCTGGGGGTAGCTGGACCGCTCCACCTCCCTGCTCCTGTCCACACCCCATACTGCTGGGGGGAGATACCCCAGGACGGCAGGGGTCCCTACACAGCTTGGCTGATCAGCTAACCACAAAGCATGGACTAGGACGAGCAGAGTGGCAGGTATCAAGAAGAAACTACCCGAGATCGGCTTATTCTGTCATGAAGTTAGGAACAGGAGCACATCACCTCACTCTGCCAGAACACCTTCTCCGGCCGGGAGACCCAGAGGCGGAGCCGCTATTCCAAATAAACCCCAGACCCGGCGGTTCGCACTCACACGCCCGCCGCGCAACTAACGTCGCCGGCTCCCCAGCGCCCCTGGAGACACGCTTGTCCCATCCCGGCCCCTCGGCCCACGCCGAGCCCCGGCCCACCCCGAGCTCGCCTCGGCCCAGCCGGCCTCCGACCCCGGGGCCGCCCGCGATCCCGGACGGGGCCAGACTCACCGAAGTAGTCCCGCGCCGTGCGCGCCTCCAGCGCCCGCTCCAGCTCTCGGGTCAGCGCCTCCAGCCGCCGCTCCGCCGCGCTCGGGCCGCCCTCCCGGGCCGCGGGCAGCTGCAGCGGAGGCAGCGGGAAGGGGGCCGGCCCCGCGGGCTCCGGGGAGCGCGCCGGCGCGGGGCAGGCGCCGGGCGGGAGCAGGTCGGCGTAGGCGCCGGCCGAGCCGCGGGAGCCCAGACTGGACACGCTGGAGCGGGCGCTGCCCACCGACGGCGGCCCGGGGCCGGGGCGCGGGTCCGAGCGGCCGGGGCGCGGGCTGCCGTGGCGTTGGTCGTAGCCCAGGCTGATGCCGCTGGAGCGGGCGCTGCCGCCGCCGCCGTCCGAGCCCGCCAGGCTGGCCCGCGGGCTGCCCGCAGGCTGCGCGCTGAGCTCGGGGGCCGCCGCGCGCCGCAGGCCTCGCTCGGCGCGGCTCGGGCCGTCCGCCCCGGCCTCGCCGCCGCCGCCGCCCTTCCCTCGGCGGGCCTGCGCCTGCGCCGCCTCGTCCCCCGGCGCGGGCCGCGGCCCCCGCCGACCCCGGCCCGGGGAGTCGCCGCCCGGCTCCAGCTCCCGCAGGGCCAGCCCGGCCAGGAGCAGGGCCGCCTCGTCCGCGGCCGCCCGGGAGCGCTGCATGGCCCGGCCGCCGGCCCGAGCGCGTCACCTCCGCCCCCGCTTCCCGCCGCCGCTCCGGCCGCGCCGCCGCATCGTCCGCCCGAGCCCGGAGCCCGCCCCGGGACCCCTGGGCGCGGGGCGGGGCGGGGCCGGCGCCGGGCCGGGGTCGCTCCGCCGCCGCGCGCCGTCCGGGGGCCGCGGCGCTCGGCGGGGCGGCGCGCGCGGCGGAGGAATGTGCGCTCGGCGGCGCCGGCCGCGCCCCCTCCTCCCGCGGCCGCGCCGGGGGCGGAGGGACTCCTTTGTGGGGGGAGGAATGCGAGGAAGGAGACGGCGCTGCGGCCTCTGGAATGCGGGGGGAGTGGCGGCGGCGGAGCCGCGGTGGCCGCGCGTCGCCGGGAGCGCAGAGGGGCGCGGAGGCCCGGCCGGTCCTCGGTCGGGAAGCGGCGCGCGGTGGCGCCGAGGGGAGAGCCCGGGCCGGCGGGGCTCCCGGCCGTCTGGCCTCTGGAGAGATCCCGGATTCTCCCCCAGGCCCGGCCGGAGAAACGGGAGCAGCTGACAGACGTTTCCCACATCCTCCCTCATCTCCTGTCCCGGCGCCGCCACCGCTTCAGGCGCTCGGCTGGGCACGGTCAGCCTTGGGCAGAAGCGCTGCGCCCGCTCCGGGACCCTGGAGGACACGGTGCGTCTCGTGCCGAGGCGCCCCCAGGACCTCGCGTGACCCCGCGACCCCCAGCCCGGCCCGGGGCCATGTGGCTGCGCGCTGGCTTCCAGAGCCCCCGCCTGCCGGGTGGGGAAGGCGCCCGGTGCTGGGAGCGGGGGTTGGTTGAGGACTGGCCCTCGCGCCTGGTCGGCGCACGCAGGACCCCGAGGCAGGCCTCAGGCTGAGCCAGTGGGCGGCTGAGCCACGGGCGGTCACCAAGAGATGCGAGGACTCCTTTTGCCAGCATCTGCCCTCAGGGTCTTGGGTGAGGCGCGAGGGAGATGCTCCTGAAAGCACTGCGCCGCCACAGATCCTGGGACGGGGCGCCTTGGGGGCCACGTGGGGGCCGGGGGCACAAGAGGTGACTAGGGCTTTGTCCCCAAAAACACTAGCGACAAAGCCCTTGTCACATATTTCAGACAGCTTATAGGGAAGGCGAGCAAGCCATTATCTGTCAGGACCCGGTGGATCCAGGAAGACCACCTCGAATGGAAGGGTTCTCTTTTCCAGGCATCCCTGCTCAGAGGAGGGCCCCACAGCATCGCAGGGAGCAGGGAGCCTGGATGGGGAGTGGTCTGCCCGCAAACAGACCAGGGCCTCTGGCCTCAACGTAACTGAGGAGCTGGCTGTGGCTCATTCTCCTCAGCTGGCAATGGAGCAATGTCTGGCCCAGCAACTCCTCCCCAGCACACCTCAGAGCTTTCAGAATTCCAGCACCCTCTCCCTCAGGTTCAGGGTCGGGGGTAGGACAAGCACAGGTGAGGGCAAGCGTTTTGGGAAGCAAATATCCAGAGAAGCCATCTCATGAAATGATCTTCCACTCTGAGAAAGGAAAAACAATTTAAGTCAACAATGAGATATCACATTTCACTGATCACATTATCTACCATTTAAAAAAGGAAATATTGGCAAGACTGTGGTGAAACTTGCATACATTTTACTGGTATGAGTGTAAGTTGGTACTTCCCATTAGGAAGGGCAATTGGGTGGTATTAACATCCTCACGAACAAAAACACTCATAAGCAGTGATGCTCCAAGAATCTATTCTACGCTAGAGAAGTGATCCAAAATGCAGACAACAGCGCATGCACAGAACTGTTTACCACATTATTTATGCAGCTATACAGTCCTAGGATCTCCAGCCTTCAGAAAAGGAGCTCAGAAGGAGCTCTGCTCTCAACGGTAGTTCTTAAATAACTGTTCCATCCCCACCTGCCCACTTAGAGCTTTCAAGATTTAAATATATTGGAGGCTACGGTCAGCTAAAACACATTACTTATTCTAATGGTAAGTAAATAAATAACAACAACAAAAACGCATAACAGAAACTACCTAAAGTGTTTGCTTTCTCGATCCCCTAGCTATCTTGGCAGCGGTTCTTGGTTGGGGGCCGACCCACACCTAAGACAGGAAGATGGTGGCAGCAAAGAAGAAGAATTAGTCACTTGAGTCAATCAACTCTAGGCTCCAATTCATTATGAAAAGTGGAAAATACTGCTGGGGTACAAGTGGACTCTGAAAATGATCAGACAAGGCAAAGCAAAACTGGTCATCCTCGACATCTGCCCAGCCTTGAGGAAATCTGAAATAGAGTATTATGCCATGTTGGCCAAAACTAGTGTCCATCACTACAGTGTCAATAATTTATTGAATTGGGCACAGCATGTAGAAATTACTAGAGAATGCACACTGGCTATCATTGATCCAGGTGATTCTGATATTGTTAGAAGCATGCCAGAACAGACTGGTGAAAAGTAAATCATGCAAAATTTTTCTTTAATAAAATTGACCAAAACTAGTTTTAATAAATAAATAAGATGTTCAATACTCAATATTAGAATAAAGTACTTCTGTGAAGTGGGAAATACATTAAGCAATTATTTATGAATATATTAAAAATATTTAATGATGTGGGGAATCATACCATTGTAATGTTAAGTGAATACAAAGTAGTATTCAGAATTGTAATCTCATCTATGCACAACCTGAATGTGTCCCAGACCCCATCTTCTTCGGCATCCTCACTAGAGGCATGTTGAATGTTTGATCTCAATTTGCTGGCTCTTTCTGTCTGGAAGCGCAGTGGGGGAGAGGAAAGGGACATGGTCTCACTCGTGGGATTTGAAGCATCGTCCAGGGACTCAGTGCCCAGCCTCCACTGATGCCTTCTCCGTCCTCCACTGATATAGGGATGTTCTCTGTGTTCGCCCCTCTTTCTGGCCTCTTTCTTTCTGAGTCCAGTGGTGTGTTGGTAAATGTTTACCAACCAACACCCTGGGGGAGATTTGTACAAATCAGGAGCCCTGATTTATAGCATTCGCCAATACCACCATAGTCAATTTCATGAACCACCATCTTTTCCTTGTAAGGTCCCAGAGGCTGATCCTATCCAGACTGTCCATGTTCATGGTGAGTTTTTGAGAGATCCCCCGGTTGTCTCTCCTTGTAACCTAGCTTCCATCAGACTCCTGAATCTATCTGTAGTGTCTATGTTGTCTGGATCCTAACTATGGACACAGTTCAGGGGTTTTCCCAGTCAGATGTCAATCAAATGTGTTTGGATAACTTGGGTTATGAGGAAAAGAGGATGGCATGCAGTCAAACTCCACGTGGAGGAGCTGCTGGGTTCCACACTTTCTCTCCACTCAGCCTGCAGTGGTCTTTACCCTTAAAATAATTTTTCCTGGGGAGAGCAGCAGGAATCTTTCACCTGAAGCCCACTTGTACCCCTCCCAGCTCAGCTCCTACCTGGGGGCCAGTCCTCCAATACACACACAGCACCAGACCCAGACTCAAGGCGCATGTTCTGTCTGACACATGGGGAGGCCATCCACTGGGAGTTGTGCCCAAGGTGACTTTTCCATCCCCTTCTCTGAGGCCTAGCTCTTTCAACCATCAACTTCCCCTGGTCCCAGTATCCCCTTAGGCCTCTCTGGTGGCACAGGTTTCAAAGCATTGACAACTGAAGCCACAGACACGACGGACGGTTCCCCAATCTAACAATCAGGGTTAGGATTTGACAATTACATTGCTTCTTCAGGGAGCAAGTGGCTATCTTGGAAAGACTTTCACTTTCTTGCCCTGAAACCTTATCCTTCACTCAGGAATGGGAATTTATGCACAAACACTGTACGTTGCAGAGACCCCAGCCAGTCTGCAACTCCATGGGGAAGAACTATTTGGGGATGCCCAGATTCCTACAGCTTTTGGGAGCATTTTTGAGCACCAGGCGGGTGTGCATGTCTTATGGTGGTGCTGGAAGGTGCAGCTCGGACCAACTGGGAGGAACCTTGGTAACACACAGAATGTGGGCTCTCAGATCCCCATCTCACCACCTACTGCTGCCGTGGGATGAGAAGCTGGGTTTCTGTGCACACCAGCCCTGAGTGTCTTACTGCTTTCAAAGGTTTCTACCCAGGCTGGCAAGGTTGGCAACATTTCCCAAGAAGCGCGACATGGTGCCAAGTAGGGATGCACTACATGTTTCTAGGATGAGGGAATGACACGTGTGCACAATGCCCACATTTTTCTGAGACTGATTGATCTTCCGAAAATCTAAGTGAATTGTTGGAAGATTTCTAAAGTAAAAAGCCTGAGGACCTTCTTGGAGCATGGTACATTCTACTAAAATTTTTGTTCAGAGTCTTTCCCTATGTAGTAAGTCATCACTTCTAAGATTTAAGTTTTAAAGCTGTGTCAGAGACACTTAGTAAAACTTCCAAAAATGTTATTTTACCAGGAGGTAACTGTCTTCAAAACATAATCAAACTGCACAGCAGCATCAAAGCACTATAGCTCAACTCAGCTGATTTTTTTAGTGAGAGTTTAAAACCTTCTCAAACTTTGGGCTGGAATTTATTTTAAATTAGATGCAGGGAAAAAAAAGTGTGTGTGCAGTATTCCCAGTATGAAAATGTCTCTAAAAATACTTCTCCAAATATAACCTCCTGCAAAATGATCAAATGGAGATTCCGGACCTCAGGAACACTACTTCAAGATGCAAAGAAATGGGAGGCCTCCACCGCTTCTACAAGTCACAATGACTAGAAACACCTGCCAACATTTTTTCCTCCTTGATTTCTTTGGGTTTTATTTACTTTTAATAGTTTTTATTTTCTGTATATTACAAAAGGCTAGTAGGGGGTTTAAATTTGCCCACATTCCTTGGCCATAGCGCAAGTCCACTTTAGACACTGGTGCCGCCAATGGGCAATTTTCAGGAACTGGAACATCTATTATGAACCAAATGCTTTCTGGCAGCTTCTAAGCAGACCATTAATCTACTGGAAACATGGCTCTCTTCTTTGGAGGCTCAAATGAAAGAGAATTCTCCCTACATCACAGCCTGGCAACAAGGATGAGTAAAGCTGACTTCAAGATGTTGGACCCAGGAATCACTGTGACACTTTCTCATTCCAA